GGAGAGTGGGGGGGGAAAGAGGGAGGTCAGAAAAAGCCAATGACAACTGCAATCACATGAACCATATCCAAAAGCCAATTTCCAAGACAACTCTCTAATATTCTAAGTAACAGCTAATAACTAGGAGTTGTCAGTTAAAAGAGCTAGAATCCGACAAACGCTCTCCCATCTTTGATAAGAATCAGAGGTACAATGAACTTTTAGAGTGTAATTCTTTAATTCTTTAGTTGTGGAGTCTGAGAGGTAAATCACTCGGATGCGTATCTGTATTTCAAGAAAAAAGACCGTATCAAGCAATTTTTTAGTCTTGATTTCAATTACAGAGCACAATTTCATAAACTGATGTAAAATGTTTCTGTACTATAGAAATCTGATTCCTGCTCCAAACTGAACGCCATCACATATCCTGAAAAGAAACAAATAATAAACAACGTAAGTGATATATAAGGTACTGATGAAATGAGAATCAATTCTCCATATCCCTAAATTCCCAAGGTTTTCAATCTTTGGAAAGTTACAGTTCAAATTATAGCTGACAAAGGCTTTTTAAAATAAATGATCTGCCAATCTGACATTCATATGGAGTATTTACATTCGCAAAATGAAGCTCATAATTTTCAAGTTGCTGATATTCATTCATGTTTTACATGAATGACAAGCAGAAACACAGCCCAACTCCTGTACAAAATAGAGTATCTCACACAGCATTCACAGGCAAGAACAGACCCCTAAAGCTTTTTTATTGTGTACTACAATATTTGCTCGATATAGGATAATTGGTTGCTAAGAAATTAATTTGTTCTCCCTTTATCTACAGTTAAGCTTGTTTCCATTTTGCAAGCAAAGACATTGAACTCGGTATTTATTCAACCATTTGATTTGGAAGGCTTAAGAAAATCCCATGAGCTGTCTGAGTCATCATTTCCCCTAAAGAAATAAAATCTGCTTCCCCTAAAGAAATAAAACCTGCTATTTCAACAGCTGATCTCAAGTTCAATGAACTCTGAAACCTGAGAAACAAAGTCTTAAACCCAGAATGAAACCAGCATGAATATAGGGAGCTGTAAGAATCATAGAATGGCCTAAGTTGGAAGGCACCTTAGAGATCATCTAATCCAATCCCCTTGCCATGAGCAGGGATGCCTCTCAACTAGATGAAGGAGAACACCAAGTGCTGAAAAAAATCTCTAAACTGGCACAGAACAAAATTAAAAGGCAGCAATTCTATCTGACAAAACCAGATAGAAGTGTGGCATCCTTCAAAACCAGTTGCTACTAAAGAAGTTGGTGTAAAAAACAAACCTGTCACCAGACTGCACTCCCATGGGGAAACAGTAGTTAAGTTCTAATCTAGCAATGTTTCCAAGTCGGAGCACGATGCCGGCACCGTAAGACCATCGGATATACTCTGCCAGCTTCTGCAGGTGAGCTCTGGGACCATCACCTGATAGTAAAAAGAGCAGGAGAACAAAAATCAAAGTAGATTGTCAAGGTGGTCAAAGGCTAACTGGATTTTCAGAGCTAGAAGAGAGACTACTTAGGAGCACCTCCTGCAGATTCACAATTTATTTAGTACCCACAACTCCCATAAATGGCAAGTATCTTGGACTACTACGATGTTAGTTCGATTACTGGTGGATCTTAGTTTTCCACCACAGGCACCTACTTGCATGAATTTGAAAATGAGTACTCAATACTTAAATGACTTTAGTGGGTCTCTATTAGTTTTCAAGTTGATGAATCTGCTTTTCAACTGTGTGTAAAGCCTCCCATATGGATGCCACCTCTCTTCCACCAAGTGAAGTGGACATCAATTATCACTACATCCCAAAACTGACTGAAATTATATTGAAGGGTTTTACACTAACACACCGAAACGTATCTTGAAAAAATTGGGGATGGGAGAAAAATATTAAGTCACATCAGTTACTACACCCCCATTTACACTCTAATGCCACCACTTTTTATTTAGTTAATCCCAGCGAATATTAGAATCTCGCTAAAACATCTCTTCCAATCTCCCTTCAGAACAGTGTAAGGCAGCAGGTGTTCATCAATTGCCACTCCGGTCTGTGAACATCACCAACTGACAGACACTCCTGTTACCATCCTAGGTCTCTTTCCTACAAGTTGCGCTAGAATTTATGTGGAGAGCTAACAAATTATTGGCAATCTGTCAAATATACAAGTTAATAGCAGCAGTTTTTTGACATGCACCAAAATATATGCAGTAAATGAACTGCTTCTGAGCAAACGGACAGAGCAGCTGTCCTTTTTGCCTTTACAGAGAGAGACAAGCAGGTTTTGTTATATGCAATCCTACTGAGTCTTACTACTTACCGTAGTTAAGATTGCAGAGGTTTCCAGCATTAAGGAAGAAATGTGTTCGAAAAAGGTCTCCAAACCCTCCCCGGCCTGGCCGGAAAGGGAGAGGGGTGTACAGATGCAACCCTCCAGCCCAGTAGGCTTCTCCTCCCAAGTAATCACCTATTTGGGTAAAATGTTGGAATAAGAACATTTACTGTGGAATATGCTAAAGGTACAAGAACACACGCTTAAGTTGTTTTACATTGCACTTCTACCCTCTATAACTCTTGCTATTTGCTTCTAGCTATCTCCAACTTCACCACTATCAAGTAAAAAAAATTATCACTTACACAATTCTTTAAACCTTCCAAGTGAAGTGCCCTTTTCTTCATTCCCTCACCGGAACAGCCTGAGGCTACCTCCTGAATACCTCTGAAATACTTGTCATAGTTTTAAAAATGGGAAATTGATACAATTAAATAATCAGCTTTAAAATATACTGAATACTAAATCCACTGGTAATAGCAAGTCAGCAGCAGAGTATGGAATAGAACCGAGGAAGATCCTGTCTCTCGAAACACTTTTGTTGATCAGATTTACCTGTCCCCTAAGCTACCTGAACACGGGCTGTATCAAACAGAGGTTTAATGTAATTGTTGCTACATCCATCTTTTGGGAACTTTTCCAGGTTGAAGGTTGCTTACTAATTAAAGTGACAGACTGGAATTATGCAAGTCTGAACACACACTTCGTTTAGAAAATTCCTTTATGGCCTAACTAAGAACTCCCAAGTTTTATTCCATTGTGACGATGTATCAAGGATGTAACGCTTCTCGGATTCAAAGTGTAGAATGAGTGCAACTATTTTAAAGCTATACAAAGTTTAGGGACAGAATGTGACCCTTCATTACACACTAATATTTACAGTACTGTCAGAGAAGTTTCAGACCTTCACTCTGGGGTCCAATGCTGTACATACTGAATCCACGCACACTTGTTGGTCCTCCAAGGTAAAATCTAGTGAAAATAGTCAAATTTAATTTAATTCTTCACTGGAAAGAACATATTTGAAAATATTTAGTCATACTTCTAACCTTGCTTTTCAGAGTTGCAGGTAATTTCATGACAGGTTTTGTAAAGTGTATTTAAAGAAATACTAGAAATTATATCTAAACTCTGATGCACTAGGCAAAATAAATCAAAATAAATGGAAGTATTAAAAAAAAAAAATCATGCTTCCATCACTTACACAGATCAAAACAGAAGGATCCCCACCACTGAAGAATCAGAACACTTTCTGATTCTGTCTGTTTTTATAATTTTGATAGAACTACTGTAGTTAAGATCTATGACATGCAAAGTTGACACTTAGCATTTATTGTAAATAAATTTAAGTCTAAATGGTTTCTGCTAGTGATCTTTAAACAAAGGTGTTAGAGGACAAAATTGTCTAAAAAGCCAACGTATTTACAATATGGCTTTACTTCTAAAATTACATACAATGTTACCTATGACTGGTACAAAATTTTGCAGATCATAAATACCATTTTGCAACCTTAAATACTGGCAGGCAGAGTTACTACACAGCAAATTATAAATTTATATTACCCCAATATGAAAATCAAAACCAGAAGGCATGGCTGAAGTACTAACATGCAATTAAAGCCAACTATAACCATTTCATTCTCATCAGAACCAGAACTCCTACTGCTTCTCTTTTCTACTACAGAGTTTTCTTTATACGTTACCTGGGTTGACTGAAAAATATAAGAAACATTAAAATAACTTGCCTATCGGCTATACTGGATGGCTTATCTCCAATAGGTATGAGCATTCCACCCCACAGTGATGCTGAAAAAACCTTCGGAGAGAAAAAGAAGGTGCTTATTAATACGTATTACTTAATTTCCCTAAAACCAGAATTCGTAAAATTTCATTGCTCAGTAACAGGCAGAGTTCCCATTACTCTGACAGAAAGTTATAGACGATCACAGCATATGCCTGGATATCACACTACCAGTAATGGTATTTTCGAGAAACTCTTGATCACTGCTGCCCTCTTTCTTTTATGCAGTGCTACATCTCGAAAAAGTCAATACAGCACATTTGAACCAAGTCCTCTTTTCACAGTAGCTGAACACTCATCCAGCTCCTATTTTCTCATGAATTTTCATGTCTTGAAATAAAACAGTGCTGTGGACATAAATCACTCCTGCCAATTTCAAAGCCAGAGGAGGCTAAGTCCACCAAATAGATACCAAAAACGTATAATTATTACCCATGCACAAATTAGCTTTGTAATTAAATGAAGCCACCTTCTGCAAGCCACAAATGTCAAATACACATAGAGGGTTACTGCTTATCTATACAGTAACTCATGGGAGCCAAATCCCTGCAATAAATGCACTTAATCATTTGCTTGCTGTCTGTGTACTAAGCTGAAGTAACTACTGCCAGATGGTGACATCTATTGTCAATACCCAGGCTAAAGGTGCTGGATAACTTCTTTAATTCTACAGCTCACTCCTGCCACCTTCTGCCCTGAGAGACCCCAGATGCCTCCCCTGCCATTCTCAGATGTGAACTCAGTTGGGGGGACACGTGCGAATCTGGTCACGCCACACGCGGCACAATGCCAAAGCCGGTTGCACGCAAGTCTACGCTCGTCAACAACGGCGACATAAAGTGATGTACGCCGCGTAGTAAGATATGCTGCACTTTCACTCACACGTAGGCATGTTAGCAGTCGTGGGAAAGAGCAAAGTCCTCTCTGCGTAGTCACGAAGCCATTAAACTACTTCACAGGAGAATACGCTGTCTTTCTCAGCTGAAGGTCAGCAAATAAATGTCAGAAGTGCACTCATCAGGCAATGCCTTTTCTTCCACCACACAGAAAGTGCAAATATAACAATGCAGTAAGAAAGGAGATGCCCTTCTGTGTTGGCCTCCGCGGCCTAGCTCAAGAACCTCACCGCACTGGGTCACCTCAGAATAAAAGTGTCTACTGCAGGGGGGTTGGACTAGCTGACCTTTAAAGGTCCTCTCCAACACAAAACATTCTACGACTCTATAAATAGCAGACGGACAGATCCCTACAGCATCACTTCGTTAGTGTCTGCACTGCAGAACCAGCTTGGAGATCTTCAGTTGTGTGGCTGGCATAATGCTACCATTCTTCCAGTCTTCTAGAATTCCTTCATTGTTCCAGTACTTCTTAAAAAGCTATCGAGAGACAGAGCTCTTCCCAATGCGTTTTTGGCTTGGGTTTGTTGTGTTTTTCGGGGGTTTTTTTAGTATGTTGGGATGTAAATTATTGTAACCTCTGATTTTTCAATATTCATAACAGAAATTGCTGTTTAATTCCCCATCCAGAACTTACTGCACCATCTACATGTGATAAAAAAATTCTTTCTAAATACAGACAGAAATATTTCTAGGATATACTGAAATTCTTATTTCACCAAGCGGAAGAAAAGTAACTATTTCCAGCTAATACTAGGTCTATGCTGTTATAGTTACCTAAACTTAAGATTTCTATGTTCTCATAAGAAGCTGGAGTTAATTAAACATAAACTTGGAGTGGTGTTATGCAATGTCATTTCCCCTGAAAGAAATCTAGTTGGTAGACACAAGAACTGCTCTGTCAACCAAACCAAGACGTTAAATGACAATGACATAGGCATTTGGTTCAAAATCACCCGGTGACTCCAAACCAAAGTACCAATGTAGACACCGCACCATAAAATCCGTGATGTGTTCTGCCAATAGGGCAGCAGACTGGGGTTTCATATACGCTTCTCATGGTACCACATGTCTTTTGTATTGGAGCTTAAATTGTTCATTGTGCACAAAATGTTGCAGTGTAAGCCTACCTCTGTAGTGAAATCAGTCTTCCCATTTTCTCCTCAATAATTTTACATAGAAGAATTACGTGCTATAATACCAATAATTAGTCATATATTCATAAAATACAATGACAAAAGAAAACTACAAGATTAATCAGAATATTCATAACCAGGTGAAAGAGACAGAACAAAGGCTGTAATAAGTTGGAATGTCAGGTTAAAAATAAAGAGTATTTCTCTTTTGAAAAAACAAATCAAGCTATCTACACGCTATCCATCTTTCACTTCCATGATCTTCTACTAATCCATGGTGAAAAATCATTAAGACACAGATTCAATAACCTCATTTGCTAACTCAGATCAATTACTAAAATATCTTTAAAAAAATTACCGAATCCCAGATAAGTTGCTTATTCAACTGAAATTCAAAATCCTCTTTTAGAAACCTCACGTCTCCACCTGTATAGCCAGCCAACTCCTGCAAAGACAAATTTGTGAAAGTTTTAAACAGATATTACATTTTTCTTCCATCTCAAAGTCCATCATGTCTACATCAGCATTTCTTGTGTTTTGTGCTGATGTCTACATCATCATTTCCTGTGTTTTCTGCACAAGAAATACAGATACACTGGTCTGGAGAGACAACTGAATTTTGGACCAATGAAAACCATGTGTGAACCTCAGAACAATGAGCTGCACTTTTTTCCACCAAATATTAAACCAAGGTACTGTTTTCTGTCATTTTGTAAATAATGGCAAAATAGAACAGAGCTGGAAAATTCATCATCCAAAATCAAGACTGTTACTGCATTTGCCTAGACCTGAGATTTCATATATACTAAAACAGAGCTGAGCCAGTTGCATTACTCAAACATGAGTTGAAAATAACAAGTGAAGTGAGCGAATTGGTGTTAGATGCAGCATCTAAGAAATGATACATTAACTAAACCCTGAATTAGAGCCACCTTTCTCACTCAGAAACGCAATAGCTTACAGGAACAGCAGCACTTCTAGTTCCAATGGCATTTCAAAACAATTTGCTTCTAAAGTGTTGCAGAGGTTAATGCCTCTGAAGTATCAACCTATACAGCAGAAAAGCCAGCTTTTCTAAAAGCTCTGAAAGTAACAAGAGTGAAAACCATTTTCTGTGCGAAAACGATATATGTGTATGCCTTTGAGAGTTATCTCTTTCATTGTTAATTCTAAAACTTTCTAAGTAGCAACAGGGCCACCACCTGGTAGCCCTACATTACAGTGTTGGAAAACAAGGACTAATATCTATTGTAAAGCGTAGAGTAAATAGTGTCAGGGATAACATATCTCAGCTAGTAAGTAATTTCATAGAATCATAGAACAATTCAGGTTGGAAAAGACCCTTGGGATCATCGAGTCCAACCATTAACCCTACACTACAAGGTGAACCCTAAATATAACGCTAATGATGAGATAAAATGCCTATGCTGTTTGACCAACAGTGTACAAATGAAAATTTGCCATTGTGAAAAATGTTTTCTGATTTTAAAAGTCACATTGTGTAAAGATAAAAAGTAAATACTGACCATCACTGTCTCGTAGTCAATTTATGATTAATTTCTAACTTTATAGGCATTTTTAATTGGAACATCAATTAGATAAATTAAGACTTATTCAAACACACTTAAAGATGAAATCCAATAATAGTGTAAGGGATTTAATACTACCTGATTAATTTTTAGCAAAGCACCTCGTCTTGGCAAGATTGAAGAGTTCCGGGAATCAATTACCATAGCGTGCTGAAAAGAGTCAAACAGTTATTTTCAGGTTCTCCTATCTATGGAATACCACAGAGCGACACTATTGTTTTCCTGCAAAAAACTCTGCATACAGTGGAAAGCAGCCACAGCCAACTAAGGCTAGTGTAGCTCCATAGATTTGGGAACAAATAGTTTATCCCCTACAATTTGCAGGCTACAAGTTAAAGATGACAACTGTTCAAAAACTGGTATAGGAAAGAATATTCATAGCACAGCACCTGTAGGATGAGGAAATTTAGTGATCCTGTCTTCTACAAAACAAGACAATACTGCATAAAGAGACATCAGATGACACAGAGGGAGGCCCTGCAGAAAGCAGCAGCCAGCCTAAGCAACAGTAAAACATGAAAATGTTTTCTGTTTGGACCTCCTAGATGATTCTGTGTGAATGACCAAACACAGCAAAAGATGTCTGAAGTAAAACACACTGCCTACTAGGACCAAAATCTCCTTTGGTATCACTCGTGTGACTCAAAAAAAAAAGTGTTTTAAAAAATTATGAAGAAAAAGCCTTACAGAGAGAGAAGATTTAAGAGAGTGTCCACTTTCTTCTCGAACAGAAAAGGACGCTGTCCTAGCAAGGCAGCCAAGTTCTCTCCACACACCCTCCCACTTCAGTGTGTGATTGGTCTTCCAGACTGGAAACTGCAAATAAAAAATTGAGTGAGACATGAAAAAAACTTTTGCTACAAAATTAAAATACACATTTCCCTGAAATTTTTTTCTGTCTGAAGTTTCTTAATACATGAGTCTATGTTTTTTCTCTCCAAACTTCTTGGATCAGAATGAAAACCTTTTTCATTTCAGAGTAATGTTAATTCTACTCCAGACAAGAGTTTCTTCATGTAGGTGCACGCTACTTAATCCATTCCAAATGAAAAATATCTGGAATTCGGCTGACACAGTGAGATAGGCAGCCATCTGCATCTCTGGAATGACAACTTAAACATTAAGAATTCGGAGAAAAACACACTGGTATTTTTATATGGCCAAAATAGGACTGAATTCTAAAAAAAAGGACATTTTAAAACTGCTGACCTCTTTTGAATAATGGCGCTAGCCCTGTGCACAAATGTTTCAGTCATCAAAAAGTAAACCAAATATTTGTGAAAGCCAGCTGTGACTTGAATTAAATGTAAATGAGGCATGTGTTCCACAAGCCCTTGTGCTACACTTACATTAAATTCTGTTGATATTCCTCTGTCAGTTTCACGAAGAGAGCTCCAAGGGAACTGTCCAGTTACTTTATACAGGTTAACTGAAAAACTGAAACACAACATTACTGGTAGGTTTGAAAGTGAAACTATCTAAGTAGGTGGAGTTTTATATTATCAAAAAAACCCTTAGGAAATCAGCTTTGCAAAGGCATAAATTTAATGATTACTCAATGAAAGGTATTATTGATTTACAGTCCTTCACCGAAATAGAAGAAGTATTCAAAAATGCATCCCCTACTTTCTTTCAAAGTTTCCAGGCTGTGGTTTGAAGAATGACAGGCCATACGAAGTTTCCTTTGTTCCATAGGAGAACTGGAAGGTTACCTTTTCTGCACGTCCAAAGAGATTTGGGAACTTGAGCCCAAGTACCTACGGAAAATACAAAAAACGAAACCTCACACCACTTCATATAGTTTGCTGCCTTGCATCTCAATTGTATGCTGAAGGCAAGCATATGTGTCATGAGAATGAGAAATGAAGACAATAAAAATAGTCAGAACTGAATGCAATTTTTCTTTCAGTTAGATTTCTCTTTGCACTGGCAGCAAATGCCATCACAACAGCACAAGTTAACAGTTAATCATCCAGTTTTTATTGCTGTCCAGTAGCTGCTGGCTTAATCTGCCTTCTCACTGCATCATGAGTACTGCTATTATTTCAAGCAAAATCTCCTGGTCTGTCTCGCAGTCCGAGAGAATAAGTTTTTGGCATAATAAGCAGCTGCTCTGCAACTGCAGGCCTTCCAGCTGATCATCAGGAGAACCGCCTGTCAGGTAGGAGTCATCAGAACCAAAGCAATAAGCCATTGGAAAATTATCAACACAGAGCTGCTTCCCTGTATTTTTGTTTTGAGTAACAAGACAATTTTACAATCAGTCCTGACGGCAGTACAATGTACCATTACAATTCTTCCGAAGGTAGTTAACTGCTTTTGCCTGTCCTGACCCAAATTCCTTGTATCCCTTTGGCAGTAAGGACAGAGCAGCTTTCCTCCAAGCACAGACGCTACCAGGATGGTTCTAGTTGTGTGTTCTACTTTAAAAGAATGTAACAAAGCTGCAAAATCCTAATTGCTTTTGTCTTACAGCTACTGATAGCAAGTCAGTCCCCTGAACTGTTTGATGATAGCTACTAGACCATTATCCTACTAACCAGAAAGGGTTATTAGTAGGAAATATTAGATCTACAGGCTTCAGATGAATGTAAGGGATTAGAATAAATGTTAAATCTATTCAACTGTTAAGGAAACATAATCTCTGCTGCCAGCACCAGTGCATACCAGTCATGCTTTTACATGTAACCAATCTGTAACAAATCAAAATTAAACAGAAGGATAAGCTGAGTACAAAAAGAAACTAAAGCAGCTTTTACACTGTTTTCAAAGGCACTAGAACCAACAGGGAGGATTCCCCACTGGTTTCATTCAGGACATGACGCCCTGGACATTGCTCTTGGCAGCAGAGCTGCTCTCAACTCACCAAGTTCCTATTCTCCCTGCACTTGCAAAACACCATCACCCGAGTCATGCAGTGTTTTATCCAGGTTAAAAATACCCCTAAGAAGAAAAGGATGAGTCCCTTGATCTGGCTTATCTACCAGCCCCGGGCACAGCTGCACTGCGCACACGAGAAGGCAGAATGGGTGCAGGAATGAGCACTTGAAAGCACAATCTATTTACACCAGCACTTCTGTTAGAAGGGCATGTACAGAGCAGAAGTACAGCTGTTACTTTTTGTTGTCAATTGGTGAATATTTTTCATGAAAGATTTTAATCTGATGCCTCCTTAATTTAAACAATGGAAACAAGTTCCACGGTTTATATGGTTCTGGAAAACTTTGGACTTTGGAGCCCAGAAAAACTGATACTGGGCTAGAATAATGAAAGCCGAGGACAATTTCTAAGTCAAATATAAAGCATTTTGACTGAGAAAAACACTTTAACCAACTCTCATACAAACTAAATGCCAAACTGCTTACTTATGTCTCCAGTAGATAAAGCGTCTTAAGTATTATAAAGAAGTAATTCAAGTAATTCTAAGAATTAAAAAAAAAAAAACAACATACTGATTTGGGAGTTACAGCATTCTTCCCTAGCTCAAAATAGGCTTTTGCTGGTGACTAATGCAAAGGCTCTTTAGAGGCAAAGGTCTGGCAAAGCCTTAGTAAAGCTGGATCAAGAAAATAATTTGGCCTGGATCACCGAATTCCTTGCTAGGTTTGAAACATGAATTGTAAGAGGACTATCAAAAGGAAATAATAATTTGAAATAATCCATACCATACTGCCTTCATTGTTGCCCACCATAGTGTTATAGCTTCCAGTTAGTCTTCTTAATTCTGTTACCTCAAATGTTACATCTAAACCATTTGGAAGGGCATCATCTCCTGCATAAACAAACAAACATACGCTATCTCTAAAGAGCTATATTTAAAAATGCTGACAGACTATGGCTTGAATTATTTGAAAACTGGTTGTATTAAATGATAATGAAAGTCCACATTAGAAAGAAAAACGGCTTGAGAAAATGATGTCATCTGGATATAAGTGCAGAACTTGGTTCAACCAAAAGCACGACTGGCTTTAATCATCAGCACATTGGTTTAATGTGTTTGTTACCTACCCACTAAAACCAGAGATGTAAGTAAATCCGTACATAATAACGGACAGAAATTACGACAAATTCAAGCAGAACGCCATGAAATTCCAAAGGGTTCACATACTTCTTGCAACTGTGTGTACCCTAAGCAAAGTTTTAAACACAAGCCCCGGTACAATTACTAGCGTTTACTTAAGCACGGAGGATGTGCTGATGTAATGTCAATTACGTGACATGTAACACATGCAAGTACAGGACACATTTTCGAGATTTTTCTCAAATGTCCCTCTGAAACTTTGGATTAAGGGATATGTATTGTAATTATTTTAGTGCTGGAAATTCACTCATTTTTGCATCTATATAAGTAATACTTATACACATATACAGATACACACAAATATATCTTTTTCATGAGGATAATGGAAGTAGACACACACATCCGTATATAGAGCACATCTAAACAAGTAGCTAAAATATATAAAGGTATATGATACAAGAGAGAATGTTTTATAAACAAAAAAAAAATTGTCCAGCCTATTAAACAGGGAAATATACATTACAGGTATGCATGTGTCTGTGTGTATGAGGAAAAAGGTGAGGATTAATGAGGCAATACATACCTTGACAGGTATCAATCAGAACCTCTACCTGTCTAAAGATTCCTAGACGAAGCAACTTTTCACGAGCTTCATGGGATTTTCTCATCACCTAAAGGATGAGATAAGCGTCTCAGTCTTTCTGGTTATCAAAAAATAACCAGATTAGATAGTTAAAGCCAAGTCACACAATATTCAACGATTTTGTATACAACGATACAGATATGCACCTTCGAAAGAGATCATGACCACTTTAATAACACTTGAATCTGTAAAGAATAAATTAAGCTGAGAGCACCTGGCTCAGTTCCTACCTTCTGTTAGTTTGCATCCTAATTGCTATAATACTTAAGCCTATTATTCAAATAGGCTTCAGTACTTAAAGCTTATACACCCATTTAAGGAGCCCATGCTTTTCACAAAAAGAACCAAACATCCTAATCTGTTTAAATTTACATGTCTAATTGCCAGCTATACTCCAGAAGGAATCGCCACCTAAAAGGGCACAGACATACAGCACAAATCACACTTTGATCCACTGTGGAGACTGGCATCAGTTTTCTGTGCTGAGATCCAATAATCTTAAGCAAATTAACTGAAAGTGCGACCTACACAGTTAGCAATTCTCAAACAGGAAGAGAAGCTGAAAAAAATACCTGAGAGTACTGTTTGCCATCTCACATCTTTGAGCTGAATACATCAGAAAATATAGTATCTGCCAGTATTTCACATTTAAGTTTGGCTTCCCTACCACATGATCAGAATCATCACAAAACTTGACAAAGTTGCCCTGAGTCTGAAGGGAGTAGCCCAACGCAGGAAAACGAGAGAAAATCATAACCTGAATTTTCAAACAGTAGGCCTGATATTCACTACAGTACTTACATCAATGAGATTTTTAGCCTTGAAAACATCAGCTATTTCATACATGATAATGTCATCTTTGGTCCTTCCAAGTCCATCGAAATGCACATGCTGAACCACCACCTAAATACAACAAGTGTTTAAACACAAATATTGAATTTGCTTCTAACAATGTGTATCAAAATCAGCAACACAGAAAAAAATATTCTTGTCCAAGTGAAAAACCCTGAAGACTCCTAGGCTAACCTACATACCAGAAATCAGTGCTATCTACAGTTCTGCAAAGTTGTTCCCTTAACATGAAAATGAAAGAAAAAAAAGAACTCTAATACCAAAGCTAATACTGATCGTAGCAGAAGAGACAACAACAGACTGTAGCTGCTACAATTTTAGTTATAAGTGTTTTACAGTCGCCCGTAAGTTTCTGTAGAAATCTCACGGAGATATTAAGACACATAAGGCAAAACATAGTTAATCATGGTTAGCTATCAGCTACACATAACCAAAGAGTTAAAAAACAAATCTACAAGCCATAAATATTTAAATTCTGACTATGAAAATTATTCCTACCCCTGCAGTCCTGTAGTTTAAAACGCGTATTAAGATCACTAGCATTATGAGGTTTTATATTTCCTTACAATGATTCATCTTGTTGTACATCATCTTGTTGCACAAGCAATCCAGGAGATTCCTGGAATCCACAGATGATAACTGCCTCCTCCAAGCGACAGAGGAATGAACCAATGAGGAGAGATGCCATGCTAGACCTTGTCTTCACCAACAGGGAGGGACTGGTGGGCAATGTCTGGGACACCTAGAGAACCTGAAGGTGAGCAAGTCGATGGGACCTGATGAGATACATTCACAGATCCTGAAGGAACTGGCAGCTGAAGTTGCTACGTCACTAGCCATCAAACTCAAGAAGTCATGGCAGTCTGGTGGGGTTCCCACAGATTGGAAAATGGGAAATATAACCCCCATTTTCAAAAAAAGGGAAGGAAAAAAAGCCAGGGAACTACAGACCAGTCAGCCTCACCTCCGTGCCAGGTAAAATCATGAAGTAGACCTTCCTGGTATCTGTACTGAGGCACATGAAAAATAATGAGACGATTGGTGACAGCCAACATGGCTTCACTAAGGGCAAATCGTGCCTGAGTAATTTGGTGGCCTTCTATGACAGAGCTACAGCGCTGCTTGACACAGGAAAAGTGATGGACGTCATTTACCTTGACTTGTGCAAGGCATTTGACACTGTC